GTTTTAATATGTCCAGAGCCTCATGAAATAGATGCAGCTTTGCCTCAAAGCTGCCACAGAAACCCAGAGTGGTTAAGGACGCTGAGCTCTAGTGCAGGCACTCCAGTAACTAGAACCACAGTGACCCCTGGTGGCGGTTCCCTGTACCTGCAATTGCTCCAAGCTATTTCATGTCCCCGATTCCTATGCTTCTGTGACCATAGCCTTTATTGCACAACTGCCCTTGGCTACAGATCCCAATCCCTCTCCCAAGGGATTCCTCTTAGTCATAATTCTCTGCTTCACATATTCCTTCTAGGAAACTCAGCCCAATGTGATCGATCCCACTACACAGTTGAGCACTGGACACATGGGGCCCACCCAGACATTTGCTGAACAAGAAAATCTAAGCACCTTCACAGAGCTGAAAGCATTCTGTTTACAGCGGGTGCCTAATAGTTGCTTTCTGGAATCTTGGCATCCAAGCGTTTTCTCTGTAGTCCCATCTCTGGGACTATTTGCTTATAGACAGGTTCTTGTTATGTAGCCCAGTTTGACCGACCTCAAATCTACGAGTGTCCTGCCTCAGCCTCCGGAGTCCTGGGGTCATAGGCCTGCACTACCATGCAGTTTTCTGTTCTATCTTTAAGATGCTGCCAGAGTTTTGCATGGCAGTGATCACCACTCCTCTCCATGAGCTGGGAATGACAGGTTCAGAGATGTAGAGAATTGCTCCAAGGTGGCCCAGAGACTACAGCAGAGATCGGCAACACAGATGGCTGCTTTCCATGGCCAAAGCCCCTATCATGAGTCCTAAGTTTTAGCTTAGGGTTAAGGGTCTTAGGGTTAAAACCCTTACACATTCTAAAGATTATTAAAGAAATATTGGTTGTATGGGAGGGCAATTCTGGAACACATAAAGTGAAATTCCTCAAGGCCACCAATCCCCGAGCCAGCCTGTGGATAGATGGATTTTCCACATCCCAGGAGTGGGAGGACTCGCATCCCTTATAGGAAATTGCTGAGCATTCTGTGTGTGAAGCCCGCCCTCCAGTGGCCGAATCAGGAATTGCGCTGAAGCAGATCCTGTAGGTGCAGGATAACTATAGGGGGGTTATTCTCAGAGTAGAGAAAAGCTACCCATGTGGTTAAGGACAAGCTGTGGCAGATGACATCTCAGAAAGACTCCTGGGTAGCTACCGAGAACAGAAAGCACAGGGCACATATAGGAACCAGGAGCAGCCAGGCAGATACTCTAAATACTCCAGGCTTAGATCAAAGTGTGACCAGGTAGTGAACTTGAACACAAGAGCCAGCAAGTACGAGCTCCAGGCAGGTTCCACCCACCTCCTTGTCTACTCCCTCTCCTGCAGGGATTCTAGCTTTTGCCCGTTGCTTTTTTTTTTTATTCAAGAGAGGGCCCACAGGTTGGGCTCCAACCATCCTCCTGCCTCATCCTCCTGAGTGCTGGGGGTGACAGGTACGCACCAGTGAGTGAGCTTGGCTTCATTTTGGTTTGTTTGCTTGACGAGAGCCCTATTCAGCCCAGGTTGGCCTCTAACTTGCTACACAGTTCAATTATTCCTTGAACACCTGATCCCCATCTCTCTCAGGTGTACTGTTTTAAAGGGAGAGTCAGCTGGGACGTGTGCTAAGGACTCATCCATGCCCCTTGCAGATAACAAAGCCGCCTGAGAGGAAGGACATGGAGTGGACACCTCTACCAGCACCCTGGTGCAGCACACAGCAGGCTCCGGACAGGTATTTGCTGGACCAGTCTGCCTCTGAGAAGTTTGACAACATGTTCTGAGTTCACAAACTAGGGTTCCTTCACAGGGCCAGGGATGGGGGGGGGCGGAGTTAGAATCCCCAGTATCCCAAAGCATTCTGGCATCAACTCCAGGTGAGATGCAAAAGCTGAGTGAGTAGTTGTCACTCAGGGGTGGGGGGTTGTCCTAGTTTCATTTCTGTCGTGACAAAAGTAACATGACTTACAGTTTCAAGTCATCCACCATTCTGGGGAAGTCAAGGCAGGAACTCAAGCAGCTAGTCCCATCACATCCACGGGCAAGAGCAGAGAGAAACAAACACGCCATCTTGCCTGCTCGCTCATGCTTAGCTAGATTTCTTCACTCCTACACAGGTCAGGGTCCAGCCTGGGGAATGGTGCCGCCCACATTCAGGGCGAGTCTTCCCACTTCAATTAACAGTCAAGGCAAATACCCACACATGTGCCCACAGGCCAGCTGGATCTATGCAATCCCTCTCTGAAATTCTCTTCTAGCATGATTCTGTGTTGTGTCAAGTTGACAGTTATAATTAGCCAGCACAGGGGGCTTCCCAGAGAAGTTAGGATGGCTAGGGTAGAGTGGTTGATGCAAGTGAGGCCTGGATGAGGCAGGAGCATGACCAGGGGTGATACACACTCTACTGGCAGTATAGGATGTGGTGAGACAGTAGAAAGGATCCTCCTGGGGGTCCCTGAAGGGTCTGCCGGTCTAAGGGCTGTGTGTCAACCCTCAAAGGTGCCACAGGATCTCACAGACACATGGCTTCCTCATCAAACACATTTAATTCTTGAAGCCAGGTGTGGCGTATTCTTTAATCCCAGTATTCCCAGGCCAGAGGCAGGTGGATCTCTGTGAATTGGAGGCCAGCCCAGTCTACACAGCAAGTTCCAAGACAACCAAAGCTACAGAGAGACAGACCCTGCCTTGAAAATGCAAAAGTATTTTTAATTATTTTTTTTTATTTTTAAAGCAAATGTCTTTAGAAATAGAGAACTGTAGCAGGTGCCTGAACCCCAGCCCTGGGGAGGAAGAGGCTGAAGCAGGATTGCCTAGGGTTGGAGGCCAGCTTGGGCTACACAGCAAGACCCTGTCTCAAACAGACAACAAAAGGAAGGGCTGGAGAGAGCCATCAATGAAGTACAAATATGAAGACTCGGGGCTCAGTACCTTAAGCTGGGAGTGGTACACACACACACACACACACACACACACACACACACACACACACACACAAGGATTCTGTCTCAGGAGCCAGCAGGGGGCGCTGTAAGTGACCATTTCCCAGATTTGGACCTCAAGGACCGCCTGGCCTTGGGGTTTCTCCACATCTCAAGCTTCTTCCACAACCCTGTTGGAGAACCTTTCCACACTAAGCTGCAGATTGGGCAACCAGCTTTTGCAAGCGGGTTATTTCCACTCCCCAGCTTTCTATAAACGTGGAGAGAAGTCAGTGGGTGTGTCAGCCTACTGGGTAAAAATACCCTGGATGACTGATTGCTGACAGCTGATGGCATTGATCCCTGCAAACTGCTCAGCAGGGGAGGAGTCCTGAAGCCAACTGGATAGAATCCCTCCTGCTGCGTGGTTCCTTCTGAGAATGTTTTGGAACAAGCCAAGCTAGCCAAATGTTAGGCACTGAGAGGAAGGTCACAGTAAAGCGGGGCGGTAGCCTTGGGGAAATGGTGTCTGAACCCCAAGTTTTGCTTCTATTTTTTTGAGACAGAATCCCGATATGCAGTCCTAGCCGGCCTGGAACTCACTCTGTAGACCAGGTTGGCATCGAACTCACAGAGCCCCATGTGCCTCTGTATCCTGAGTGCTGGGATAAAAGTCGTGCATCACATCAGCCTCCTCCTCCTTTGTTTTTAAGACAGGGTCTTATGTATAGCCCAGGCTGGTCTTGAACTCACTATGTAGCTGAATGTCTGATCCTCCTGCCTCTGCCAGTGTCCCAGCCCTGGGATTAGAGGTGTGCACCTTTGCCCTTACTTCATGTGATTGGGGGGAGAAGGGGACGACAAAGCTTGCACACTGGGTGAAGGATCAGGAGAGGAGGTAGAAGGAAGGAGGCCACAGGCCAGGCTGGAGTCTCCACACACGGATAAAGACAGACTGGACGAGCAGAGACCTCCCCAGAACTCCAGCCAACCTGTCCGAACCTGCTTGAGCTTCCAGACCCTTGAGCAGGAATGTCTGCCTCTGAGTCCCCTGTCTATGGTGCAGTAGAAGCAGCACAGATACAGGAAAGACACGGAAGCTGGGCACAGAGGCACATGTCTCTGGCGCCAGCCACGCAGATGGGGCCAGAGGAGTCCTTGAGCCTGCAAGTTCACGACCAACCTGAAAAGCATAGCAACCTGAAAAGCATAGGAAGGCTGGCTATTCCCAGTCACAGAAATTATGAATCTGGACATGGTGGGCCATGCCTGTCACCCCAGCCTTTGGGAGACAGAGGCGGGGGATAAGTTCCAGCCCCAGGCTAGCCTTGTAAATGTAGACTCCGACTTCAAAAAACAAAACAAAAACAAAATCTGCCTTATATAAATGTTTATGTCGCAAAGTATAATGGAGGGATTAGTAGGAGGTAGAAGGGCAGGAAGAAAACTGAAAGTTGAAGAGGAAGTGCAGGGCCAGGGAGAGGGTTCAGTGGGTAATGGAGCTTGCTGCCAAACTTGAGGAACTGAGTTCGGTCCCCAGGACCCACATGGTGAGAAAAGAACCTGCACACCTGCACCATGGCATGGGCCCACACACCATAATAAGACTAATCCTAAAAAGGGAGGGGGTGCAGACCGTAGCGACCATCAAAATTTCTTCCCGTACTTTTCAATGTTCACACTGCAAATATCTTGCCCAGTTTCTAGCAAGTCCCTTGAGGGCGAAGCATGGCTTTATTCTAGAACAGGGATACTGGGGGAACTTGGGATGAAACTTAGGCCTTCCCTTCCAACCCTTTCCATCCCAGGTCATGTGGGTGACAAGGATGCTCTGGCCCTGGGTGCTGACTGCAGGAAGACCCAGAGGGCTCTACGGGACAGGAAAAGGACACAGCCAGCCTGATGCTGGTTCATCAGGCTTGACGTGGAAAACTGGCTAGGGGCGGGTGCTGGCCCGATACCAGCAGACAAGCTTGGCAGCCATGGGGAACACATCCTGAGTGAGTGATGTGGCCTGGACCCCGGACCCCGACCCCGGAGCCCCAGCCCTGCCCAGCAGACCAAAGGCAGTGTGAAATCTGTGAAAACGTTTATTGCTTCAATCATGAGTTTCTTCCAAGAGATGATAAAATTTTTCTTCCAGTAGAAAAAGGAACAGTTGCAGAGCGTTGGGCCTCCTTGTCCCCCACCCTCTGGGGAAGTACACCAGGACACCAGGCCAGATGCCAGAGGACCAGGTGCCAGGGGTAGATGGCCCACACCTGAAAACTAAGGACCCTGAGGGGCCTGCCACTCTGGTCACTTACTGTGGCCAATTCAGTGTTTAGGCGACATAGCAGAGACTGGAGGAAAAGGGCCAGGCGCAGCTCCAGAGCGCATGTGTAGACCCGTTAGGACCTGGAACTACTTGCCTGGCCTTGGCACAAGAGGCTGATGCATGCCCAACCCCTAGGAGTGACAGTTCTGTCTTCCCTGGGGACTGCGCCTTTCAGCCTGATGGAGAAAGATGAGGGTAGCATGAAGTGGCGGGCCTGGGTAGGGCCAGCTCCCCATGGGAGGGGCTGGTGGCAGTTGCAGTCCCGAAGCCTGGCTCACAGACCATTTAGAAGAGTGTGCCTGTGACTCAGCATGCGCATGCGCCTTCAGCAGGGGTCTGTCCCTGGTCCCTGAGTGTTTCTTTGCACACGCCTGGACGCATGTGTGCTGTGCGGACAGGTGTGACATCTGGGGGCTCAGGCCATGGCACTGGCAGGCTGTCCGCTGAGAGAGTCCTCAAGAAGTGGGGTATAGGGACTGGATGGCTGGTCTGACCAAGCTATCAGGTTTGGGGGGCTCATGATGTCTTTGGGACCCTGTGGAGAAAGCAGACGGTCAGTCACCAGCCTGTCGCCTAGCCCTGCCCTGCCTAGCCCTGATTGCCACCCCGCATCCCACCAGCACGGAATCCACCTCCTCCCCATCACAGTGCTGTCCGCCATGAACTGAGGGACGCCACCCTCTCACACATGGAGACTCCTCAGTCCTACAGGTCACTGGGTTTCATCCCCTCCCTTCAGAGATGGGGAACGGAAGCCAGAGAGACTGGCAGGGTGCAGTGGGGGAGAGCAGAGCAGGGCCCAGAGTGGGTGTAGCACTGCTGCACAGGGAGGACTAGAAATGGACGCCTGTCCACAGGAGGACGTGTGTAAAACAGTCACATGACAGGCCAGGGTCAGCTGTTAAAAACGGCCCTTCTTCATGGAGGTGGGAGACATCTTCCCGCCAAATCCTTGCAATAGTGGCCGTTGGGCCTTAGGGCGGTGGGATATGAAGAAAAGGGATAAGGTATAGAGAAGGGAGAGATGGAGTAGATGTTGAGAGACTCCCATTTGAGAAGACTTACCAACTTAGGGAAATGATAAGGATACCGGGTGTCTATCCCTGCCCTGCAGCCCCACCCCATGACCGTGTTTGCCAGGATAATTTAGAATGGGAGACAGACCAATGAGAAACAGAGGTTCAGAGCACTTCCCCAAAGCCTTGTCTGTTCAAGGCACCTGACTACACAGCCAACCATGCCGCCAACCCCTTACCTTACAGCAACGCCCATTTGCCCAGAGGAAGCGCCTTTTTATAATAATACCCTTTGGGCTAACAGTGGCCCTGTCTTCTTTCTCTTCCAGGAACAGCACAGGCCCCGAGGGGCCACCCCCACCCCCACGCGCAAGGCAAAGTAAGTGTGAAGCCTCAGCAAGTCTTACTTAGCCAGGCAGTGAGGTACCCCAGGCAAGGACCCACATGTCAGCCCACACAATGAAACTGGTCCTTGAAGACCCTGCTCCCCCTAGCACATGGCCAGGAGTGAGGTACCCCACTCTCCATAGGCCAAACAAAGCCTGGACCAGGCTGGGAAAATAGAGGAAGCCCCAGTTTAATTTCTTTTATTGGGGTCTGGACAGGGTTAAGGCTGTGCAGCTATGGGCTCCATCTGAGCTAATGTGACTATCCAATCTCTGCTTGGAGCCTGCGTTTGCCCCCTGGGGGTACTCTATCTCCCACCCAGGATGCCTTCCCTGCCCTTTGGCATACCAAGTATCACCTGCAGAGGGCTCCACTGCTGGAAGGCAGCAGGACACAAGGCCCCCACCCTTACCCCTCCCGGAAGCCCCACCTACCCAGACCCTTCCTCAGCTCCAGGGACACATGGGACCCACTGAGCTGCAGAGGCCCAGTCTACTAGGCCTGTCCTTTCTCCTCTGGGGAGGTGGCACCTCTCAGGACAATCACATACCCACCAGAGTTCTGTTTTATTTCCTTCTCTGACAGCTAACATTGCTGGAAGCAGCCAGCTGGCCCCCAGAAACCCAGGAGCCCAGCTGTAGCCTCCACCCTCCTAGCTCTCTCCAAGGAAGTATTCACACCCAAGCTGGCTTAAACGCTAAAATAGCAGCTTCTTTGGGGACACAACTCACCTCTGTTAACCTCAAATTGCAGGGCCCATTGCTTTTCCTGTCACTTCCCAGGCAGGGACACACCCGGTAGGGCTCGGCCTCTCCTTAGCCCTGAACCCTACAGGACCTGGAGATCTTGGGAAAGTGCTGCCCTGGGTCCCTACAGGGTGGGCTGCTGAGTAAGCAGCTATGCCTGCATTGGTGGTGAGCCACCGAGACCACCGATCCCAGCACTGCACAGAGCACACACTTTTAGACTGCACTGAGCAATCTGTATGGATCCTATGTGCTCAACCTGATGATCCTATCCTCAGGCCTGGGGCCCTGAGTATACAGCTGGCGCTCAACCTATGCCTAAATTATGTAGTCTCTTATTCCAGACTGGGGCCAGTGTGCCTTTGAGGTGTGGAAAACTAGTTTTCAAACCCTCTGCCCTGCAGGGGTCTCTGGGCTTCCAGGATGTCCAAGGACCTGAGTTGAGCAAACCGAGCCAGAACACTGAGAAGCAACTGGCCTAATTTCCATCTTCTCACAGGACCTTGTAAATGAGAGTCGCTGACTGAAGGTCCAAGAAACTGAGGCAAGATGGGACCCAAGGTGATGATGGCAGGAGGGTGGCTTTCTACGTGGAGGACACCCAGGCAGATGCTAGGGGTGGAGAGGGTTGAACAGGTCTACCGGCTACAGGCAAGATGGGGAGGGGGAGGGGTTACCTGGTACGCACCTACAGTTTGGCTTCTTGCAGCACCTTGCCCTTGGCAGCTGGTGACATCAGAGACTCAGAGTAGGCCTGAACGGCCTCCTTATCCTGCGAGCCCTTTTTACTACCACTCCAAAATAAAAAGCATTTCTCCTGGAAGACAACCAAGCTTGTTTATATTCCACACTGTGTCACTGGGAAGTCCCTGGGTTCCCCAGAAGCAAAGGGACAGAAAACAGGAAAGCAGAGTCCTCCACCCTGCATCATGGGCGAACTGCCCCAGAAGATGGGCAAGCCGAGCATCAGAGAGCCACCAACAGGCAAGGGGAGGAGATGGCCACAGTAGGGCCAGTGTGGAGAGTTTGGGTTTCTCCGGTCTGGTTTGGGGGAGCTGGACTGCACTTGAACACAGGGCCGGGGCCTGCTAATGTCTCGCTTAACTACTTCCCCAATTCCATGGAGTTTTCAATCAGGGGTAAATACTAACATAATGCTGTTCTCCTTGAGAATGATGTATAGGAATGGGCGGTAGTGGCGTATGCCTTTAATCCCAGTACTTGGGAAGCAGAGGCAGGCGGATCTCTATGAGTTCTAGGCCAGCCTGGTCTACTAAGCAAGTTCCAGGACAGCCAGAGCTGTTACATAGAGAAACCCTGTCTCAAAAAAAAACAAAAAACAAAAAACAAAAACAAAAACAAAAGAATGATGTATGGATATATGTTGTTAACCAGTCAGCATGCAGTTAAAAAAATGACAGACACACACACACACACACACACACACACACACACACACACACACACACACACACACGTATGTGAGGCTTGTTAGGGCAAGGCTGGTAGAGTATGGATTGCTATTTTGGCCTCTGATGGAACCTGCAGGGCAAGCAGCCTTGACCCTAGCTAGCCCCCTAGGTGAGGTGAGAAGAACCCTTCTATTTTTTGATCCCTCTCTTCTCCATTAGTTGACTGGAAGAGGCTCTCACTGGGCAGCCATAGGGAAGGGCAATACCAGCCTGGAAGCCCAGCCCATGACTGTCCGTCAGTTTACATAGAGAGCCAGAGGCTCCCCGATGCCCCTTCGAGACGACATGGGACCTGGGGCCATGGAAGTGGGGTGCTTATGGCTTGAAAGGAATCTGTTCTTCCCACAGCAAGTAAGCAAGCAAGCAAGCAAGCAAACACACCTTCAGAAAGAAAGCCAGTGGACTGACAGGACAGGAAGGCAGGAACTAAGGTTCCCCCCACCAAGCACACCGAGCAGAAAGAAGGGCCTGTGGCCCCAGGACGTCTCAGATGGGGCCCTGTGGGTGGCCACAGACAGCAACCCTCCCCCATCACAGCGGGTCATCACCCTGTCCTCAACTGCCCTGGCCCTCATAACTACAGCTATGAGCACCACGGGAGGGGACTTGGCCCTGAATTTCAAGCTGTATGTTCTACTCATTTTTGTAACTCCAAGATTTATGGACACAGCCTTGAAAACACAATTCTCACTACGAGTGGATGGATGGCTTTAAGGCCAGAAGGGAACTAAGCTTCTAGTCACCCTCCTTTGCTTCCTGCTTTTAGTGGCTAATGTCCTAGGGTTACAGTCTTCATTCATTTTTTGCTTCCTTCCTTATATAAGTCACCCCCCCCCAGGTCTGAACCACACTATTCCGTTTATTTTATTTCCTGAGTCAAGGTTTTGTGTAGCCCAGGCTGGCCTTAAATTTTACATGTAGCCAAGGATGACTTTGAATTTCCAATCCTCCTGCCTCAACCTCCCTCCTGAATGCTGGGATTATAGGAACAAGCCACCACACCAGGTGTGAAATGGTCACCAGATTTCAAAGATTAAACCTGGAAAAGAGTTGAGAGAGCCTTTGTATCTTGAATATTGATTGCTTGCCTTCTCTACTTTTTAATTTTTTTTTTATTTTATGTGTCCGAATAGTTTGCCTGCATCTACATGCACTGTGTGCGTACCTGTTATATCCCCTGGAACTAGGGTTATAGATGGTTGTGAACCATCATATGAGTACTGGGAGTCAAACTTAGGTCCCCTGAAAGCAGTAAGTGCTTCCAACCTCTTTTCTTTTTCTCCCTCCTTCCCCCTCCTGCCCCTGCCCCCCCCATCTTTTTACCAGTTTTGATTGCAGATTTTACGCGGACAGTGTTGAGGACTGAATGCAGGGCCTTGCCTTTGCTAAACAAGGGCTCTGTTGCTGAGCTAACCCTCAACCCCATATTTTGATATATTTGGGTTAAACAAATTTATAACCAAACTCACTTGTTTCTCTTGACTTAGAAAATTTAAGTTCAAGAGCCCACATGCGGCCCCTCCCACTTCCATCTCAGACCCAGCTCTGGCCCATCCATTTTCTGTTGTCTTTCACCTTTGATAAATTATCTTTTCTGTTTGGTTTAACCTGGCTTTCATTTGTTTCTCTGACCAGGCCAGGCCCCAGCCTCCCACTTCACAGAGCCTGCACCAAGTGGTACCCACTTGCTGGTCAAATGATTGGGTATCTTTTCTCAGCCCAGCACCCACCAGGGAGGGTCCCGGGCCTTCCAGGTCGGGTAGAGAAGAAGTCAGAGCAGGATGCCAGAGGTGCTAGAATGAAAGCTAGCTGCAGGAGACAAACCCGACCCCGACCGACCGGAGCAGAGTCCTGCCACCCCTCCTACTTACCTGGCTGCGCAACTGGTAGATGATGGGCACCAGCAGCAGGAGGCTGCCCAGCCCCAGCAGCACATACTGCGCATAGTGAAGCACTTGGGGCATCAGCACCAGCTGCGTGTAGAACGTGTTCAGGGGCTCGCCGCCCATGGCACCGCTCTGCAACAGGGCGGACGGACAGGTAAGGAGGGCTGGGCTACACACTGCACCTCCCAGAACTCTCTCTTGGGTCTCATCCCTCCCAAACTCAGACGGGAGAGCCCCAGGGCAGCTAGAAGTCCAAGGAGAACTACATTTCCCAGAGGCCCTTGCTGTTCACACGGGCCAATGGGAGGTGGAGCTGACCCCAAAAGACCCTAATCTCTTTCACCGATTAGAACCTAGTCTTAGGACCTGAAGGGTCATGAGAAAGATCAGGTGGTATGGTGCCGATCTCCACCTCGGGATCTCCACCTCAACGCACTGCATCAGACAACAAGGAAGTGCATCCGACCCTCAGGATTAGCAAACCCTCGAGAAGGATAATTGGTTTAAAAGCCAGATTCCCTTCCCAAGCACCCACAACCATCTGTAATTCCAGTTCCAAGGGATCTGATGATCTCTGTGGTACCAGTCTTCCATGTGGTACACATACATACATGCAGGCAAAACATCCATATGAATAATTAAATTTAGGTACCAGAAGTTAGGCTAACATTAGCACCAAAGTGACATAAAATAAATAAGCCAGGCCTGCACCTTTTCCCACCTGCCTCAGACACTCTCAGACTCCCTACTGCCCTCAGAGCCTCACCTGTTCAAACCATAGCAGTGGCAGGACCACGGGCTCGATCTTCCCTGTTTGCCTAGAAATAAGGGGACAAAGTGAGTGACCGACGGTGACCTTGAGGATGGAAGCTATGTTTGGGATTGGGGTGCCGTGTTGCTCGGTAGAGCTTTTGGTTACCATGTGCATGGGCTTGGTTCAATCCCCAACACCTCACAAGAAAAGGGGACAGAAAGATGTAGAGGGAGCTTGGAAGGCAAGAGCTTCGTACATTTGACTATCCTTAGCCAAGTTCGAGGACAGCCTGGGCTACATGAAACCCTGGTTCAAAAAAAAAAAAAAAAAAAAAATTAAGGGGAGTGTCATGGCTCACCAGGTAATGGTGTTTGTGGCCAAGCCTGATGACCTGAGTTCCATCCCCAGGACCCACAAGGTAGGAGGGGAGAACAGGCTTCCAAAAGTTGTACTGACTTCTGTATCTGCATTGTAGCATGCACCTGCATTCCCCCCCATAAATACATTAAAAAATAAATAATAAACAATACCAATGAATCCCATCCCATGGAAGCCTGAGTGGATGCATTAACAGCTGTCCACAGCAAACCTGATGCCACGACACAGGTCCAGATCCAGCAAGTACTTTCACATACTCCAGAGGCTAGAGGAGAAACTGTCACGGTGCCAAAAGCTGGCACAACGGGTAAAGCATCTGCTGCTCAGGCATATGAACCTGGGGGCAGATCCCAGAGCCCACACCTAAAGCTATGTGCGGCTTTGAACCTCTGACCCCAGGGCTGAGAGGGGTAGCGACAGGAGGCTGGCTGGGGCTTCAGTAGGAAACCCTGTCTCAAGGGAAAAAAGTGGAGAGTGACAGAGCAGGACATGCAGCATCCTCATCTGGCCTTGCACACTTGCACATGAGTGTGCATGACACACACACACACACACACACACACAGGCCCAAGCAGACTACATCTTGAAGTCAAAAGCTGAGGGGAAAGGGTTGTAGCAAAAACACAACACTAAACTTTGGTTCCTTACTGCGACAAAACTATTTCTGGAAGTTGACGGTGTGGAAGTTGACAGGGTGCTGGGGACAGGGACAAAGATCTCCATTTCTGCCACCTCTCCATAAATCTATAAAGATTCTAAAGAGTATTTTCGGCAGCGAAACAAATCAATCTTTGGAAGCTGGGCTCAGGAGCTCACACCAGCCCACTTTGGCCTCCAGTTTCAAGGGCCTGGGTGAGCCAGATAGAGTGATGCAGGTCCAAGTTCAAGACCATGATGGGCTACAGAGTGAGTTCAAGAGCAATCTGGGCAATTTAGTGAGACCCTGTGGCAAAATAAAAGTGAAAAGAGGGCTGGGGGTATAATTCAGTGAAAGAATGCTTTTCCAGCAATCAGGAGCGCGCGCGCGCGTGTGTGTGTGTGTGTGTGTAGGAGTAGGAGTCTAGCTGAGTCTGGTGCTTCCTGGCCTTGGTTTTCCCCACAGAAGGTCAGGTATGAGACCTGTAGGCCCTGCTGGGTTCATTCCACTCAAGCCATGAAGCCCAGAGCCCACCTCTTCCTCAGTCACCTCTTTCTAAGTGATTCCCAGGCATCTGACCTATGACACGAACCAGGGATCAGCTCCAAGACCGAGTTTCTGCCTGGCAAACTTGGAATTAGGCAGGAGCCCTCACAGTCTCACTCTGTACACATAATTAAAGTAAATCCAGAGGAATGATGGTTTAGAGCACTGGCTGTTCTTCCAGAGGACCCAGGTTCAATTCTCAGAACCCATCTAGAAGCTCACAGCAGTCTGCAACTCCAATCCCCTGGGATCCCATGCCCTCTTCTGGCCTCTGTGGGCAGTGCACAGACATGCAAGCAGGGAATCTATTCTGTTATGGGGAGACAGTTTGGACTGACCAATCTGACTGTCGGAGGAGAGACCTTAGGAAAGGGGGAATGAAAGAGTGTTGGGGTGCATGCTGGGTCTCCATCCGAGCAAAGATGCCTTCATAGGGAAGAAGAAGTGGATGGACCCTTCTCTCATCCCATGCCTTGCATCTACCAATGTATGAAGCCTCATGGTCCCTGATGCCTTCAGAAGCTTCCATACCAACCTACTCACCCAATGCCCTTGACAGATTTGATGTAGAGGCTCAGCTGCAACTTCACAGAACAGTTCATGGGAATCCCAGTGACCTGGAGCAGAAAACAGCGAGGACAGCATGTAAGACCATGGAGGCCATGGGGCTGGAGAGATAGATGGCTTAGAGGTTAAGAGCACTGCCTGCTCTTCCAGAGGTCCTGAGTTCAATTCCCAGCAACCATATGGTATCTCACAACCATCTGTAATGAGATCTGGTGCCCTCTTCTGGCCTGTGCATACATAATAAATCTTAAAGGGGAAAAGAAAAGACCATGGAGGTTAGCTCCCAGCCTGCTCCAGCTCTGGGGCTCTGAGAGGCTTCTCACCCATATGTCCCAGCCAACAGGCTGGGACAGCCACCCTTCTAGAAATTTCCCACTCACACACTAGGCTCTTTCTCAGGAAATACATGTTGCCAAAGGGATCAGACACCTGCCATCTCAAGGTCCCCTATAGAGCCACTTGTCACCAGAGGGGTGATCTCCATCTGGGTTTTGTTTTTGTTTAGTTCTGTAGCGAGATAGTCCTTCTCTGGCACTGACCACACCCATTGGGGGGTGGAGCCATGGGCGGAAGTGACCTGTGGAAGGAGGTCGGAGGGAGCCAGGAAAGGCACTCTCTTTCTGGCGTGACTCGGACAGGAGAGGATCGGGTTGAATTTCCTGGTGTTCATCTGTCTAGGTTGTATGTTATTTCTCCCTAAATAAACATCTATTCGGCCTATTTGTTTATCCTGATCCTTACTTACCGCGATATAGTTTGGTTTTTCGAGACAGGGTTTCTCTGTAGCTTTGGCTGTCCCAGTCTGGTCTCAAACTCACATAGCTCCACCTGCCTCTGACTCCTGAGTGCTGGGATTAAAGGCTTGTGCCACCATTGCCCAGCTTGTTTTGTTTTTCTGTTTTGAGACAGAATTTCATGTGGCCCAGGCTGGACTCCAACTTGCTACGTAACCAAGGAAGATCCTGAACTCCCAATCTCCCTGCCTCCACCTTCTGAGGCCTGGCTCATGCCTAACTTTACACGGGGCTGGGATAGAATCCAGGGCTTGCCAGGCAAGCACCCTACCTACTGAGCTACATTCCCAGCCCTCACATAGCTTCCTCAGATAGTGCCTCCCAAGTGTGGGGCATGTGTGGCTGGGGCACGTGCTGTAAGGATGGCTTTCTCAGTCTGTTTACAACAGTGCCCACGGATTCAGGAAGTTTAGTGCAGGGCCTGATCCAGGGAAAGTACGTTTAATTGCACTGCAGCCTTTTTTCTCTTTACTCATAGCAATTTGCAGGGTCCTGCCACTTCCTTGCAGAGGCAGCAGCTGGAGGGTTCCCATATGTGGCCCTATTTTTAAAATGAGAGGTTTTACAAAATAAAGATAATAATCACTAGGAGAACTGATACTCATGTCGTCTAAATCAGGAAGAAAGTTCTAGAAGGAAATGAGAGAAGGTTGGTGAAGAGAGAATTAGGACTGGGGCTCCGTGCTGTTTCTGGGAATGCAGCTAGCCCTGCCCAGATCATGTGACTCTTGCAAGAATGATGGAAGCAGAAGGCCACCTCTCAGGTCACAACCACCCACAGTAGAGGACAAGAACATTGCCTTTCCTCTGAACCCAGTGCTCTCTGGTCCCTCCTGTTCCCAGGGCAAAGGGAAACTGGGCAAGGCCTCTACAAACTGGATATGACTTACAGACAGAGGTGTGGGGATCATAACAGCTCCACCATGGGTGCCCAAGTGACCCTCCCCAGGGTCTTGGAACCTGAGTTCCAGGGGGTCCCCCACTCCCTAAGCTAGGGTTTTGGCCGCACCATGCCATACCCATTTTTATAGACAGTTAATACTGGGCACCCATGTCCTCGGTGAGTCTGGCATATGGATCTACCCCAAGGAGAGGGACAGGTCTCTAGTCAACACCCAGACTCTTTCTTTCCTGACATGCAATACTTCCTATGCATCAGGTTTCTTGCTGGGGAGTTAGGCACAAGCTGGGGAAGACATCCAACAACTTCTTCCTACATACCTACCCTCCCTCTGCAATAACCGCTGCCTGTAAGCCCAGTGTGGAGACACACTTGGAAGCTGAGGCAGGAGACTGCAAGTTCAAGGACAGCTGGAGGCCTAGCTCAGAACCAGAGCATCTGTCGAGTGTGAGAGGCCCAGTAAAACAAAAAGGTTTTCACAAAAGGCCTTCAGGGTGTCATGGGTGTTCATAAAGGATAGAAGCCCTAAGAGTCCCCAAGTTAATGGCAAGGACAGTAGCCTGACTGGTCACAAATGACCTGAGGCAGAGAGAAGGGCTGTGCATCCCAGAGAGGGCCTGTGTCTGAGTGTCACCCTTCTGTCCCTGGCTGGTAGATACAAGTTAACACAGGACAAATTCCCCACACTGATTTCTCTGTGAGACACTGTGGCCCATACTGATGTCTGGAAATCTTTAGTGTCTTGACACTGTCAAGGGTATCTCTAGTGCAGGAGACGTCCCAGCTGATATTTCTTAATTAATTTACCACCATATATCTTTTTTATAGGCCCCAATAAAAAAAGTAACGACATCACTGAACTATGGAATTGGGGACCTTTGATGGCTCGAAGTTCTTAGAAGCCACCACTGTGGAAGGAACTGGGCTCCCCTGCCCCAGAGTGAGCCAGCTCTGTGCTGGGGGGGGGGGCGCGGGGGTGAGAGAGGGGAACAGTAGACTGTAGCAACCCATGGGAACCAACCCCAGACTCTAGAAGGGCACAGAGCTTACCGGATGGATGTCTAGGAACAAGGAATGCTCCTTTGGGTCAGGGTTCAGACCAAGAACGGCTTCTGACAGCACGGGGTCTGCATTGTAGAAGTGAGGGTGTGACAGAAACAGAGGTGCACCTGGAGAAGGGGAAGGACAGGGTCAGAAAACAAAGGGGTTCACATCGGCCCGGCTGGGTGCCAGGGGTGCAGGACAAGGGAGGAAACAGACCTATAGTGGGGCATTAACGAGATGTGAATACCGGAGACCAGGCAGGAAGAACCCTTTCTTCATTGCGTAAAGAAGCTGGGCACAGGGCATGGGGAGGGTGGATGGAGCCAGGGTGGCCGATTCCAGAGGTGGGGGTAGGTTGAGAAGGGGAGAGGGCAGCTGCTACCAAGCAAGGGAAGGACATTCCCGTTTGGAGTGTGGTAGAGGTGAGAGCCAGAGGTGCAAGAGGGAATCATGGGAGATGAAGATGAAAAGGAAAACAAGGTCACATGAATTTGAGTGTGGAAGCCCCGGCTCAATGGCAAGCCAGGCCCACAGGCTACTTCTGCAAGAGTCATAGCAGGGGTGCATATGAGCCGGTCTCTGACATCAATCCCAGGAGGAGAGAGGGGGCAGCCCCTTCAAGAGATTCCCAGCCAGGACCCTGAGGCAGGGCCTCAAGTCAATCAAGCAAAGTGGCCCATTACAGCCATCTCAGGACAAGAGGCTTGATGTGTGAGTTACTAGCCCCCCTTAGGAGGCCACAAGATGCCCTGGGGCAACGGATCCACAGAAGGGAGGCACCCTACCTTTCAAAGTTATATCTCTTAAGCCTTTACATTCCCAACACTCTAAAATTAAAGGAGGAAAACCTTGGGGCTGGAGAGGCGGCTCAGCAGCTAGCAGTGCTTCTGCCCTGGCAGAGGACCTGGGTTTGATTCCCAGCACCCATGTCAGAAGGCTGGGAACTGCCTGTAACTCCAGCAGCCAGAGATCGCACACCTCTGGCCTCTGAAGGGACCCGCGTTCGTGTGTACAAAGAAAGACAGAAATAATAATAACAACAATAATAAATACATATCACATAATTAAAAATAAGATAAATCTTTAAAAACCGAAAGCAGGCTGGGTAGTGTTGGGTGCTCATCTTTAATCCCAGCACTCAGGAGGCACAGGCAGGCAGAGCTCTGTGAGTCTGAGGCCAGCCTGTCTATAGAGGGAGTTCCAGGATAGCTAGCTAGGGCTGTCTCAAAAAACAAACAAACAAACAAACAAAACCAAATAAACAAAATCCTATATCCCTTTTTTCTTTTCAGAACGAAATCCTAGAACCTAATCTCTTTTACTTAATTTCCTCCCTGACCATGACCACTAACAACTTGTAACCAATCCCCTGAAACAATGATAAACATTCATAACCCATAAACCCATCAAAAGAGAATGTGGGTGTTGTGTTCTCTGGACTGTTTCCTGTTGCCTAGGGGTGACAGCATATTTAGGGAACCCTGGAAAATTGAGATAAAGATCAGGTTCTGTTGTTCAGTCTTGGTATTGCTGTCATTTCTTATAGTTTTGAAAGTTGTTTGCTTTATACTTTCTGTTTACTCAGGTAATATTATATACTTCTCAGGAGTTAAGGACAAGATAGTTATACTTAGTTTTCCTTGTTACCAAATTCAGAGAAGTATAAAGTGTATAAGGTTGAGAAACACAAAAGCTTAAACTGTTTATCTAAGAAATGTTTTGAGGTCTAAATAGATAATTTTGGGGTTGGGTGGTGGTGGTGCACACTTTTAGTCCTAGCACTTGGGAAGCAGAGATAGGTGGATCTTTGTGAGTTCAAGGCCAGCCTGGTCTTCAGAGTGAGTTCCAGTACAGGCTCCAAAGCTGCAGAAAAGCTGTATCTCAAACACACACACACACACACACACACACACACACACACACACTCAAAAAAGGTAGTTTTGGGTTGGTAGTACAAGTTATAATTAAAAAAATGGTTTAAGTATAACACTTTGAACTCATCAAGATAGATAATAGAGTAATTTCTTCTAATTTGCCAAATACAAATGGACTAGATATTATAAATATAATTCTTACCTGATAATTTTTCTTGTTGTATATAGTTTTACTATGTTAGAATTAAAACCTTTCCACTGGGTAGTAGTGGTGCATGCCTTTAATCCCAGTACTTGGAAAGCAGAGGCAAGTGGATCTTTGTGAGTTTGAGACCAGCCTGGTGTACAAGAACTAGTCCTAGGACAGGCTCCAAAGCTTCACAGGGAAATCTTGTCTCAAAAAAACCAAAAAATAAATAAATACATAAACAATAAAACCCTTTTCTTTTTATTTATATGAAAAGGGGAAAATATTGCGAGATATTTGATTGTTCTGTGTAAAGATATGTCACTGTGACTAGTTAGATTAAAAACTAAATGGCCAATGGCTAGGCAGGGGGCATAGCAGGGACTCCTGGTCAGAGAGAACTCTGGGAAGAAGGAGGAGGAGTTGCCAGCCGGATTCAGAGGAAGCAGGACATTCAGGAGAGGTAAAAGCCATGAGCCACATGTCAGCACATAGACTAATACAAATGAGTTAATTTAAGTTTATCAGTTGGTTAGAAACAAGCCTAAGCTAAGGCTTGTTCACGATAAATAAGAAGTCTCTATATCATTTTTTGGGAACTGGCTGGCGGGTCAGAGAAGGATTCGTTACAGTAGAGCAAGAGTCATTGAGAATCCAGATGGATCCACGGACCCTTGAAAGTCATCCATGCTTGCCCTCAGTTTGGAAAACCCTATCTCCGACCTCTCATCCAATCTGTGACAGGATGACAAGCAAACACTGGAAGCCCATTTCTGTAGAAGGGACACCGGGCATCCCAGGGAAACGAAGCTGCCACCTAACCAAACCTGGAAGGCACAGATTCTAACAGACATGGCTGCCAGCTCAGCCTGTTGCAGATGGCATGCCCATGTGTGTTTCATCTTCTTTTTTTTATTTTCAAACACGCTCAGAGAGATGCACCCGGGCAATAAGCATAATTAATTTATAGCTTTATGGCCCATGTATCCAGACTTAACTGCTCAGGATTACCCCAGTTGTGATTAAGGGACGCTCTAGGAAAGGTCCAAGGCCCTCCCAAGACAGGGAGATGAGACGCAGGGAGTCCTGAGTCCAAGAAGTTCTCATGACCCAGAGGGAGAAAGCTATGTGTATTCTTTATCGTCAGATAAAAATGCCGCAGAAATGTGGCCTCAGGTGCTCCCTCACAGCATGTGCAGGAATGTTCCTTGTAATAGTGAACCTTGTAATAGTGAAATGCCAAGAGAGAGCTCCATGAGCCAGGAAGGGCTAAGGCAAGCATAGTCCCACCATGGAATACCAGACAACAACCCAGAAGCCAAGCTCAAATCACCCACCATCTGGCAGATGGGACCGTATCAACATGACAAGGGGCAGCATCGGGGAACAAGGGGGAAAGAACACACATTATGACTCCATCTACATAAAGACTGTTGCCAAGCAGAGAGCCTGGAGACCAAAAGTCAGGCTGGTGGGCAGGAAGAGCAGGAAAACCCTGCACCCTACAAGGTCCACCTCTTTCTTCTTCGTGGGATTGTTGTTGGCTGTGTTCCCTTAGCAGTTGGAGCCACCCCTCCCCTTTCTTAGTCTCCTCCCATTTAAAAAGGCAAGCATTAGGGGGTCAGGAAAAACGGCTCAGTAAGTAAAGTGTCTCCTGTGAGAGTACGAGGGCCTGAGTTCAGGTCCCCAGCGCTCGCACAGAAAACCAGATGTGGCATCTCACATCTGTAACCTCAGTCTTGGGAGGCAGAGACAGATGATTTCCTGGAGCTTGCCAGGTCAAGGATTAGTGAGAGGGCCTGTCTCAAAAAAAATAAATAAATAAACAAATAAATAAACAAACAAATCAATCAATCAATCAATCCAGAGAGTGATGTAGGAAGACATCCACCTCTGGCCTCTGTGCACACACATGCTTGTGCCCCATCCCCCGCCCCCAACAAACAAAAGAACAAGCCACAGACACAAGTACACTTAGATTCTTTGGCATATATGAAATTTTTTCCCTGTCAGCAGAGGATGTCACTGCTCCTGCGGTGTGTGTGTGTGACCCACCCTGACCAATCAGCGCAGCCTAAGCCTGGCCTCAGTGACTAGGTCATAGTTGGACCAGTTGCAGCAAGCTCTGGGACCAGGCACTGAGGGGAAGGCAGAGCTAGGCTGTGGATACGGCTTCCCACCCACAGGAAAGCCCTGGACCCATGCCTGTGTAGAGCTCTACCCTGGAAGCTTGAACCCCATCAACCAACACGTTCCCCAGTCAGGCCAGGCACCTGCCCCCCCCCCCCCCGCAGGTGCCCGGTGACTCTGTGCAGCAGGTGACCAGTAGGCTCTGTCTCACAAGGGAAAAGCACAGACTGGGATCTGTCAGTCATTTCTTCATGTCTCTTCTTCCCACCCCCGTGGCAGTGTCCCCAGGGTCCACTTCCCTATCTGCATGATGGTGTTCTACCCAAACAGGCTCTGAAAGTCAGACACAGAGACAGGCTGTGCCTACCAACCTCCAGACCCAGGCAGCCACCCTGTCTCAGGCCTAATGCTTCCCTCCCTCGCTCCCTCCTTCCCTCCCTCCCTCCCTCCCTCGCTCCCTCTCTTTTGTTTTTGGAGACAGGGTTTCTCTGTGTAGCTTTGGAGCCTGTCCTGGAACTCACTCTGTAGAGCAGGCTGGTCTGGAACTCACAGAGATCCGCCTGCCTCTGCCTCCTGAATGTGGGGGGGCACGGCTACTACTATAAGGTGGGGAGGGATGGCACAAGGTTTTCAGTCCAGGGAGGGGGCAAGCAGGGAAGGGTTAAATAACATCAGCTGCCATGGCAGGCACCAGGGAGGGCCAAAGAGGTTGGAAGATCAGTGAGGGCCTCTAGGAGGATATGAGCAGAGGAAGCTTTTAATTTCAAATTGATTCACATCTGGTGCAATATGAGCTGGCAAGGGACAGAGGGGACGGCAGTGGCAGTCTGGAGAAGAAGCCAGTGGGAAGAAGAAACACTATGTACGTACGTGGGAGGTCCCTGGAGCTGCCTAGGCCTGACCACCAGGTGAGGGGTGAGGGGCGCGGCCTGGCCTGGAGCTGACACCCAAGAATCCTAATTGAGCAACGGAGATGGGGCATAGCAGGGTCTGGCACACGATTAGAGCTCAGAGTAGACACCAGGGGACACAGCCAGCACCTAGCTTCACACCCAACTATGCCGAAGAGGCAAGGTTTACACAACAGCAGAGTTGCCAGTTTGATTCTGCCAAGCCCTTGCTCCTCAGCAGGTGAATGGCCCCAAAGGGTGTTCCCACCCACATCCAGTCAGTCTCTGGAGTCCCGAAAACTGTAAGAGCTGGGCAGAGGAGGTCAGAGAATGAAGGGTTTGGGGGGATCTGGTGTCAGGGTATAAGCCCACAATCTCTGCACTCAGAAGGCTGAGGCAGGAAGAATGGACGTAAGAAGCTAATTCGGGTCACACAGCACTACCCGGTCCCAAACTGGATGCTAGGTTGAAAGGAAGGGGCCACAAGCCAAGGAGTGTGGTAACTCCAGAAGCAGGAAGGGGATGAGGGCAGACTCCTCTCCATGACCAAGAGCCAGTGCCCATTGTCAGATCTTAACCTCAGGGCAGGACCCTTCGGACTTCGGTGCAACAGAGCCCGTGGATAATGAGTGCTGGTGGGACATTTATCAGGGTGGTGTTATCTTTAGCTTCGTATCTGTAGCACTGAGATCATCAGGGGTGCAGAGACCAGAGATTAATGGGACTGCAAGCTGGCAGCAGATAAAATCCTGGTGCCACCCTCAACTCAGCCTGGAGGTGGGGACGGAGCACAGATGGGACACTTACCAAACCTGCAGGTGCTGACATTTTGAATGCCAGATTCGAGGCATGGGCAGAAGCCTTCATTGGGTGGGTAGACAGACCCATTGGCAAACAAAGTTTTAGGGGCCGTGAATCGATAGGTGGGGATGCCTTCAAACACCCCTGAATCATGGTAGGTGAGCTTCATGGACCTGTAGGGAGGAGGCACGGTGAGAACTATTCTTAGCATTCTTCTAAGAAGGGAAATCAGGAGATCACGGTCCTTCTTGGCTACACAGCAAGTTCGAGGCCAACCTTGATGATATGAGACCCTGTCTCAAAAAATTCAAAACAAAACAAAACAAACCACTGGGGGCAAAGTTGCACCCATACTGACCACCTGGCAAATTTTCTCCTTGTCCCCCAAGCAATAAAGAAAGCCAGCATTTACACAGGGTCCTGTTGCACTAAGAGAGAGTTTGAAATTTACAGAGCCCTTGTCCACTTACAATGAAATGTCAATCTCTCTCTTTTTTTCCTCTCTCCCTCCCTCTCCCTTTCTCCTTTTCTTTTTTCTTTATGAATCTCTGTAGTCTCTATATAGCCCTGGCTAGCCTGGAACTGGCTATGTAGATGCAAATCCCAGGGAAGCATCCACTTGCCTCTGCCTTGCGTGCTGGGAGTAAAAACACATGACACCACTGCTCAGCTGATACTCAGATTCCTAAGACCCATTACTAAAGAAATAATGTTTAGAATAATATTTCAGATAAGTAAAATGTGTCTAGCTAATATTTTAGTCAAATAAAACATTGTCAACAATGTGATAGTAAGGTTTATCAGTTTGACATATCTAGAATCTCCTTCAAGGAGACTCTCAATGGGAGACTGTCTAGATAAGGCTGGCCTGTGAAATTGTTTTAATTCCCTTAAGATCCAGCCCACACACCGGGCATTGGTGGCACATACCTTTAATCCCAGCACTCAGGAGGTAGAGGCAGGTGGATCTCTGTGAGTTTGAGGCCAGCCTGGTTTACTGAACTAGTTCCAGGACAATACAGAGAAACCCTGTCTATAAAAAAAAAAAAAAAAAAGCAAAAGAAAAGATCCAGGCACCATTCCCTGGGCTTGGGCTTGGGCCGTAGACTATATAAAAGGGGAGCCAGCTGTCTGAGCCCTAGGCATGAGTGCATTCAGTACTCTGCTCTTGTAACTGAACTGACTAGCTGCCTGGAGTTCCTGCTCTGGCCCTCATCCCCATCCACAAGAATGAACCTGGAATTGTAAGCATGGTTTATTTTCTAATTTATTCAGCAGCACTGGGTTCAGAGGATCTTATCAAGTCAATGTGAAATTCCTTGGATTTGGCCCTTGTGACTGTGTAAGAAAATGTCTTTGTTTTTTGGAGAATATCCCCTGAAGGGTTAACTGATGGAGAGGGACACCTGGCCTGCATCTCAATCACACAGGATTCCAGAGGAGGGCAAACAGGAGGGTGTGGAGCAAGGGTTCCAGAGATGAGCAAAACAGAAACAAAGAGAACAATTGGCTGGAATGTGGATGAGGAGTGCCTCCCAAGAGCCCTGTGGTCAAGGGCTGGTCTCTCTCTGTGTGTGTGTGTGTGTGTGTGTGTGTGTGTGTGTGTGTGTGTGTGTGTGTGTGTGTGTGTGTGTTGGGGGTGGATGCTACTGGATTGGGGGAACCTTTAAAAAGTGGGTTCTAAGACTGGTAGTGGTTGGTGATGCACGCCTTTAATCCCGGCACTTGGGAGGCAGAGGCAGGCGGATCTTTGTGAACTCGAGACCAGGCTAATTCCAGGATAGCCAAGGCTACACAGAGAGACCCTGACTAGAAAACAAACCAAGTGGGATCTAATGGTAGGTCTTTGAGTCATTTCAGGTGGCCTTTGAAAGGGGCTATGGGACCTTCTTCAGTTTCCTGTTTGCTTCCCAGCCCTGAGCTGAGCCTCTTTCTCAGTCACGGGTTTATCAGAAACACTAACCCTGGCTGCACCCAGGGCCTTGTGTAAACCAAGCAAGTGCTGCTATACCACTGAGCTATACCTCTCAGGACTCTTACTACACAACACCACCTGACACACGCTCAAAAGCCACAGCTTGTCCCTGCACAGGAAGCTCAAAACCTGAGAGGGAAACTCAACTGTTCGTTGAGTTTCGTTCCTCTTTGTGTTGAGTATACAGATATTTGTATGTCTATGGTTGTGTTTGTGTGTGTGCGTGCATGCCTGTGTGTTGTAGGTGAGAAGCTGACACTGGATTTCTTTTTTAATCACTCTCTACCTTATTTATTTATCTATCTATTTATTTATTTGTTTTAAGATTTATTTATTTGCTGGGCATTGGTGGTGCACACCTTTAGCCCCAGCACTGTGAGTCTGAGGCCAGCTGGTCTACAAAGCAAGTTCCAGGACAGGCTCCAAAGTAATACAGAGAAACCCTGTCTCGGGAAAAAAAAAAAAAAAAGATTTATTTATTTATTGTACATACATTGTTCTGCCTGCACATCAGAAGAGGGCACCAGATGTAATGACAGATGGTTGTGAGCCACCATGTGGTTGCTGGGAATGGAACTCAGGACCTCTGGATGAGCAGACAGTGCTCTTAACCTCTGAGCCGTCTCTCCAGCTCCTCCACCTTATTTTTTGAGGCAGGGTCTCTCCATGAACATGGAGCTTATCCACTCTGTCAGGCTGGGTGGCTTTCCAGCACTCTCCCATCTCCGCCTCACTAGGGCTGCGTTTCTAGGCACACACTGCTACTGAGCTCTGGGGAGTGAACTCAGCTCCTCTTGCTAATGGTGAACACTTTACTGACTGAGCCTCTCCCCAACCCTGAGCCATCTCAGTCATCTCTGCCACTGACAGAGGCTGGGCTGAAAATGTTTTCTCTTAAGTCTGAACTTAGGGGACTAGAGCATGATCAGGGGAGACCATTTACATAGTGTATTGAGGCTGTGGGTTCCATTATTAGCAACACACACACACACACACACACACACACACACACACACACACACACACTATAAATGGGCTGGAGAGATGGATCAATGGTTAAAAGCACTTACTGCTCCTCTAGAAGACCTAAGTTCAGTTCCCAGCACCCAAGTTGGGCAGCTCACGACCACCTATAACACAAGCTCCAAGTGATCCAACGCCCTCTTATGGCCCCCCATGAGCAGCTGCATGCATGTGCACATAACCCACACAGATATAAATAATTGAAAAATAGCAATTCTTTTTTTAAAAAATAACCAAGTCCTGCTTTTGGAAGTATCCAACGGGACACAGGCACGGAGGGAGCATAGTTGTCTGTGTTAGCTAGAGAGGCAGAGGGCTCAAAGATCAGCCCAGTGAGTTCCCAAGCCAAGGTCACCTCCAGCGTGGCCAGAATGCATCACCAGCTAGGGCACCACTTGGGGATGGGCTCAGAGACCACCATGTCTTCCCAGGCTACAGTCGGGACCCTGGGATGGTGAAGCCCAAGCTACAAAGCCTCAGCACACCTCCAAGCAAAGGAGTTAGAGACTGGTAGACACAGGGAACTGCACCTCACTGTCAAAGGTCTGGATTCCAGGAGACCCCAGCCCTCCAGCTCCACACCACAGCTTCACCCGAGACCCTGACTTTTCCTACCATCACCTGTCACCACCACCATCATGACAGCCCCCAGCAACCACCCACTCACAGCCTCTCTGGGCTCTACTTAAGCTGTGGCACCCATGAAAAGTCAGGGCAATCAGGCTACATGCTTGCACCTTTGGATGCCAGCTGGGGGGGGGGGTGAGGGGTGCTATTTGGGAGGTGGATGAACTTTCAAGGTGCAACAGAAATCCAAAATAAATCGCCTCCCCAAGTCTCCTCTGTCAGGCTATTTTGCCATAGTGACAAGAAATAAACTGAGCCATAGTACACAGAGGGTGAGGCATTTTGAGTGTACACCCCAGGAGCTAGCTGAATGGACCCTAAATCATCTCAGAAGCGGAATCACCTGTATCGCATGCCCACACAAGTTTACCTGCAAGCCTCAGGACTGAAGAATTCCAGTGAGGATTGGGGAGTCATGAATGGCGCCCACATCTGCCCAGAAGTCCCATTGATCATGTTGCACTGCTCTGAATGCCAATAGTTGATCTGTGGGAGGACAGGAAGAGATGCAACTTTGAAGGACAGCCAAGACTCGCACCCAATACTTGTTCCAGTGCAGACAGATATCATCATACCCAACCCTGGCACAGAGCAGGCTGTGTAGACAGAGCATTGACCCAACTTCCTGTTCCCCACAGTGGGGCCTGCTCCACACAGTGTTGTTGGGGACTCAGTTGAGTCATCTGTACAATGGGCCCATTGCCCACATCTTCTTGCTCCCTCTCCCTGTATAAGTCAACATGCACACCCTGCAAACAAGTAAAGCTTGGAGGCCAGCTTGGTCTACAGAGTAAGTCCCATGGCAAGCCAGGGCTACACAGAGAAACGCTGTCTCACAAAACTAAATAATAATAATAATAGTAATAATAATGAAGGAGGAGGAGAAGAGTGAGAAGAAGAAAGGAAGGATCTGGTTAGTGTGAACAGCACCCACTGAGAACGGCCGCTGGACGGGTGTGGTAGCACACACATCTATGATCTAAGCACTCAGGAGGGAATTGAGACAGGAAGATTGAAAGTTTGAAGCCAGCATGGGATACAAAATGAGACCTTTCCAAAATAATAATTTAGCAGGGCAGTGGTGACACATGCCTTTAATCACAGCACTCAGGAGGCAGAGGCAGGCAGATCTCTGTGAGTTTGAGGTCAGCCTGGTCTACAGAGTGAGTTCCAGGATGGCTAGGGCTATACAGTGAAATTCTGTCTTGAAAATCTAAAAGGAAGGAAGGAAGGAAGGAAGGAAAAGAAAAAGGATAGGGACAGTGAGATGGCTCAGGACTTGCCTAGAATCCCCCAGTGAGGGATTGGGGTGTGACTCAGTGGCAGAGCCCCCACCTGGAATCCCCCAGTGAGGGGCTATGGGCGTGGCTCAGTGGTACAGCCCCTGTAAAGAATGCACAGGGCCTGGGCTCCATCTTCAGTAACTGACAAACACAACAGCACAAAAACACAATATAGAGCAAAGATGTCCTAAGGAGAAGAGCCAACTGCGAAACAGCACACAACAGGATTTCTGTGTATTCAAAGAAGGAAGGAAAACACATTTCTCTGGATACACAGAGGCGTGGTGGTGGTTAAATGGCCAGGAAGCCGGGCCCCACAAGTGGTGCTGGGGGTTTCCGGGTGGGTCTAGGCAAGGTGCTAGGCCTCCATTGTCTTATCTTATGGGAATGTCTTCCTGTCCGCCTTGTTAATGGAAACGCAGGGACAGAAGAGTGAAGAGTTCCCAGCAGAAGCACACTCAAGGGACAGTTCCTAGACCTTTGAAGTCCTTGGGTGACCCTGATACCATCTCCAGAGCCTTTTCTGTTGCCCAAGGCTTGTCCCCAATCTAGGGGAAGGGACTGTCCCCCCTCCTGCTCACCTTGCTGAGTCCGTTCCATCTGTCCACCAGGTGGATCTTGCTGAAGTTCTGGACGCCCGTGAACACAGTGAAGAGCCCAGAGTCTGAGTTGTTCATCTGTAAACAGGCGCAACCGTGCCATTAGCCCTGAGTTGGGGGCTCGAGACCTGGACACAGGCACAAGCTGGCCTGCTCTTCAGCTGTGGACAGGCCCTCTCCCTGCTGCACTGACTCATTGCTGGGGATAGACCCAGGGTCTTACTAAGTTGTCCAGGCTGGTTTTGAACTTGCCATCCTCCTGCCTCATACTCCCATGTACAGAGATGGCAAATCTACCCCATCAGGCCCAGCAGTTAATTAAGGGGGAAAAAAAGGCATTTAAGTGGGGAATAGTGGCACACATCTTTAATCCCAGATCTCAAGAGGCAGAGGCAGATGGATCTCTGAGTTCGAGGCTAGCCTGGTCTACAAAGTTAGTTACAGGACAGACATAGCTACATAGAGACTCCGTATCAAAACAAACAAACCAAAAAAGAAAAGAAATAAAGCATTCAATATAAATTCCCCAAGGGAAAAGAGTGCCATGGAAAGATGTAGAAGCTGAATGGAAGGGCTAGCAATGGTAGAATGAACCAGAGGTCACAGAAGCAATATTATTTAATCCCAGAATGGCTGGAGAGCAGGACTAGGTGGAATGTGTTCTGCTCCTGTCTCCTGGGCTGTCCCCATAGGAGCCCCAGCCTCAGCTGTGAGGAAGAGAAAGGGATGGAGGTCTGTATAGGAGGTCCTGGGAAGGGCAGATACAGAAACAGGACTCTACCCAGGGCTCCTAACTGTAAAAGCTCTGACACTGAGCATTCAACCGCTGCCCATCTTGTTACATGTTCACCCCACAGGAACGTCACCTGGTCTCTGGGAGACATGGTGCCTTACGTATATAGCCTGCTCTCCACAAGACTGCATGTATTTTTATTTTATGTACCTGAGTCATCTGCCTGCATGTTATATCTGTGCACCACACACATACAGTGCCTAAGAAAGCCAGAAGAGGGCATCAGATCCCCTGGAATTGGAGCTACATACAGATGACTGTGAGACACCACGTGGGTGCTGGGAATTGAACCTGGATCCTCTTGAAAAGCAACCAGTGATTTTAACCACTGAGCAGTGAATTTCATCTACACCTGGTACAACAGGTCCTGGAGGTTTGGGTCACTGGGTCATGCCACTGACCCTCACTAAAAGGCCACCCTATCGGCAGACCCCTTGGAAAAAGCTGAGCTGGAATAGGGAGTTGAGGTCAGGGGTCAGATCTTACCTCAGGTTACCAACAGTTAAGATTGAGAATAAGTTGGCACCTCTGAGTAGTACATTTTAGGTATTTGTCTCGAGAACCCAGTCCTCCTGCTCCTCCTCCTGCAGCAAAGCCTCCAATTTCCTAAGCTAAACCCCAGTCACACACCCCTTGAACTGGATCAGTCCACACCTGAATGCGATACTGATGTTCTGCTAATTTTCCAATTTTGCTTAAGACGGTTTCTTAGGGTCTTCGCCTGACAGCTGCCTTTCACAGCAGTCTGTGTGGACGGAAGACACTTACCTCAACAAACAGGCCGAACTTGCCCTTGATGGGGAACATGTCTGGGAAGTATTTGTTGATAAAATTCACAAAGGGATCCTCGTAGCCCCAGAGAATCTCACCAACTGTGCGGTTCATAAAGGCACGCTGGCCCATGGTGGCCAGCCCCAAGGTCATCATCAGCTTCAGGCCTGCAGACTTGCTCTCCATCATCACTGCGCCCCCCTGCAAAGCCAAGGACATGGAGCTAGGGAGGTGGGCATGGTGGGACACCCTCCACCATCCTCAGGTTTCAGGCAAATAGCTCAGACCCTCCATGTGAACCCTTCCTTCCCTGATCCTTGTTGCCAGGGCAACATATACTAGAGAACACCCATGGCGTTCAGACTAAATGAACTGCACGGCAGTCACGAAGCTCAGGCATGGCATTCAGGGGCCCTACTCAGCCACTGTCACTGCAGAGCCACACCTGAGCCCTGGTAGGAGCCAATGAAATACCAGGAAACACTCTGCACAGCTGGGGCACAGAGGAGGTCCCCAGGCTGTCTTTCACCCTGAGAACAACGGGGCTGTAGCCAAGGTTAAGAGCAGGCCTGCCAGAGAAGAGGGCCAGCAAGGATGCCAGTGCTGTGTTTATAACAAGGATGCTATCCCCTCGCGCCCCTCCATCAATAACATCCTGGAAGCAGGATACTGAGATACTGAGACAGTCTCACCGAGCCCTGCAGCCCCCTCACAAAATGTAGTCTAGGCTGACCTGGAACTCGGCATCCTCCTGCCTCAGCTTCTTCATGGGGACTCCACCCCGCTTCCCATGTCTCCTCCCCACCTTAACACTGGGAGTCCAGGACATCCACTCCCACCAGGGTCAAAGTGTCCTGAGTGCAGTTGAGTTTATAGTGTTTGTGTTTGCTCTCCTCTGCAGCATGCATGGAGGTCCTTGGTTTTTCCAAAGGTTGCAACCACAAGCCACCTTCTGCCTCCAGAGCAACACACAGCTGCAGTTTCCAGGTATTTCCATAGAGTGTGTTGTGCTGCTCCCCATCCTTATAGGTCCCCTTCATCATCAGTAATCAATACAGGGTTATTATGTTTACTGGGCGGGCACCATAGCACATGTGTGGATGTTAAAGGAAACCCGTGGGAGTCATGTGAGTCCTGGAGATAATTAAACTCAAATCAAGACGGTTGGTGGCAGGTGTCTTTTACTCACTGAGCCATCCTGCCCGCTCAGGACAGATTGTTGTTGTTTCTTAGTACCTAAAAAGGAGCCATGTACCAGATGTGGCTGTGCACACCTTAATATCCCAGCACTTGAGGCAGAGACAGGCATATCTCTGTGTGTTCAAAGCCAGCCTGGTCTACATAATAAGTTGCAGGACAGCCAGGACTGCATAGTGGAGACTCTGTCTCAAAATAATGATAACAAGTAAGTAGATAAATAAATAAAGGTTAAAAACAAAAATTCTTCCTCCACCTCCATCGGTCCTTGGGGACATTTCTGACAATGGACCTGGGTTGGTAGGCAGAATAGCTAGCTGAGGGGCAAAGCCAGACATCACCTAATTGTGTTGCCTTCATGAAAGCTGGTGTTTCTGACAATTTCCTATGGCTGGGGGTGGATGGGTGGGAGAATTAAAAGAATCTTCCAAGAAGTATGAAAGTCAGACCATGGGGTCTGACCCTGGCCTGGTAAAGCTGTCCCACTTGGTGTCTTGAACTTTGTCCTTGGGGAGGGTCCTCCTGGCCCCTCTGTATAAATGTCTGATGGGGATGTCCTTCTGTATGCTGTGAATATGTCTCTCTTATTGGTTGATGAATAAATGCTGATTGGCCAGTAGCCGGGCAGGAAGCATAGGCGGAGCTATCAGACAAGGAGAAAGGAAAGGCAGAAGCTGACACCAGAGAAGCCATGTAACTACTGGGAAGGTAGGATGCCCAGGCATTCTCCGGTAAGATAAGGCCATGTGGAAATACATAGATTAATAGTTATGTGTTGATAATTAAGAGAGAGCTAGCCAAAAAGAAGCCTAATCCATCGGCCAAACAGTTTATAATTATTATAAGCCTCTGTGTGTTTATTTGGGACTAACGGGACTGCGGGACCTGGCTGGAAAGAAACGTCCTGTCTTCACTCTTGCTTTCTCCGCAGGACTGCTGGGACTGCTCTGAGTTGAGTGGCTCCCAGCATGCACCAAGGCACTGACCCAGCAACTCCAAACACCGTGTGCTCAATAAATGGCTGCTTTTCCTGACTCCCACCTGCCCACATCATGTGACCCTGCCACACTGGTCCCCAGTGGCGCTGACCTTCAGGCTTCATCAGGGACCACAAGGGAGGTCCCAGGTCTCAAATGGGAAGTAAGGCAATGAGAAGGATGGGATGGTCACTATGGAGACAGTGGGGGAGAGAGTGGGGTAAGCATGGGGTAGACAGAGGGCCATAGCCTCACCAAGACCAGGATGTTAGGCAGCACAATGTAGTCACTCTCGGAGCCGTGGGACCTGTCAGGCTGAAAATGGAGGCTGCGGCGTTCCACGAAGGACACAGTATCATTGTTATTGAAGGTGATGTTGGCCTTATGTCTGAATTCCCTGTGGAGACACATTGGATCAGCTGGGTGTGTAAGGTCATATGGATGCTCCCATCAGCTCCCAGCACACCCTGGGAGCCAGGGACCCCAGAGTGTTAGTGTATTGATAACCAACAGCACCAAGGTTTACCTTGCCCTCTCTTGTTTATATACCCCAGCGTCTGCCCATGGCAAGATGCTGCCACCACCAAACAACCCTTCTCTGCTCTCCCTCACCCACCACCAGGCTCTCTGAGCCCCTCTGGAACGCACCCCAAGTCCTCACATCTCCTTTCCACTCGATAATCATCACCCAGCACCAAGTAGAAATCCACACAGCCAGCATTTACTGAGAGTTTATTGCAGGCCAAATGCTCAAACTAACCATCTCATCTGGTCCTTGAATGCACCCGCAGTGGGTACCATTATCTCCATCTCACAGATGGGGAAACAGGCTCACGGAAGTAAAACTCCTTCCTAAGAGTGGAGGGCCAGGCAGCCACTCTTAAGAGTCCATAGTTTCAACCATGGGAGCCCAGGATTGGAACATGTGCCACTGAATGAATCTCTACCTCTAGGGCCTCAGGTTTTGCGTCTGTAGGGCGAAACAATAATACTCCCGCCTCAGTAGGTGGCTGCATCCACTGAGAGCCAAGGAGAGAGTTGCTAGCAGGCAACCCCCAGGCCCTGCAGGTCTCAGCCCCAAGGAACCCGTGCCACAGCTGGCTTCCTGGCCCTTCCTCAACGCCACCATCCTCCTGCCTCAGGACTTTTGCAACGCTCATCCCACCGTACCAGGGCCACCTGTCCCCCTCCACCCTTGAAGTCACAAGTCTCCTCACACAGGCCTACACAGATCTATACAGGCCACGTCAACTAAGACACAAGCACTCTCCAAGCTCTCTGTCCCCTCCCTGCTTGTGGCCCACTCCTTAGGTGCCATGTCAACTGGCTTCACTTCTGTGCCCTTGTCTAACTTTCCTGACTCAGTAGCACCCATTTTACCCCTTTTGTGCCCCCCCACGCACACACACACACACACCACACACACACGTATGGGCACATACACACAAACACAGGCCCGCACATGAGCACACACCCCACAACATTACCCCTTAAAGAAACAGTCAGCATTATAGCCTCCCCCTTCTGTGCCTAGTCCACCGCTGGAGCAACCTCCAAGGCTCGATAGAGTAGACCCCCACCACCACAGCCCCGCCCCACCCTGCCTGGTCTCACCTGTAGACATAGGGTCCACGTTCCCGCACTACTGGCTTCTCGCCCTTTAGGATCTCGCTGGGGTTGACCACCTCGAAGAAGTAGACGGACAAGTAGAAGGGGACAGGAATCTCCTTCCACATCCCAAAGGACAGGCTGCTGGGGTCTATGCGGACATTCTGTAGGGAGACACAGCGAGGACCATGAGGGGCTTCCCCACCTAGGCTCACAGCAGCTGCCTGAGACCGGCCTGTGCCAGAGGCCCGGAAGGCAGAAAAGGTGGTTGAGAATGGCCCCCGTGGGCGTCTATATTTGCATGTTTAGTCCCGGTTGGTTAACTGTTGGAAGGGTTAGGAGAGGTGGCCTTGTTGGAGAAGGTGTCCTGCTAGGGATGGGCTTTGAGGTTTCAAAAGCCCACTCCAAAGCAGGGTGGTGGTGGTACTCTCTTTAATCCCAGCACTCTGGAGGCAGAGGCAGGAGGATCTCTCTGAGTTCAAAGCCAGCCTGGTCTACAGAGCCAGTATCAGGGCAGCCAGGGTAAACAGAGAAACCCCCGTCTCGAAAAAACAAAAAGAATTAAACAAACAACCAACAAATAAAAGCCCATTCCAGGCCCAGGGTAGTTCTCTCTCTGCCTGTGGATCAGGGTGTAAGTAAGGTCTCAGCTAGTCCTCAGACACCGTGCCCACGTGACTTGCTACCATGCTCCCTGCCATAAGGATAAAGGATGATGGATGAGGCCTGTTAACAAGCCTCCAGTCAAAGGGTTTCATTCATTCATCATTTCACATTTTGATTTGCTTTGATTTGTTCCTTTACTAATCCATTTGTTCCTTTATTCACTCATTAATTCTTTCATTCACCCCTCACTCACTCACTCACTCATTCATTGATTCATTCATTCATTCAAGCATGCTGTGAGCAGCTACTCTTGAAGGTCAGGTTCAAGGTGTGGCAGACAGCAGTGGTAATGAGACAGACTGTCCCCAACCTTGTGGGACTTTAACTGAATCAGGGAAACACTGGCTCTGTGCATTGAGGGGAAGGAAGCCAGTGTCATGTGACACATTGAGAGATCAAGGAGAGGAGAGGGAAGAGGATTGGATTCTTGACAGTCACCAGCTTCGAGGGCCAGAAAAACTCCAAGCAGGACCAGGGCCAGGGCTCAGAGCTTGCCTAGCACGCAGGCAGCTGTGGGTTCAGTCCCCAGCTGTATAGAGCAGACATGGCGGTTCAGGGCTGTCATGCCAGCACTTGGGATGCTGAAGCGGGAAGAGGGTAACTTGGAGGTCAGCCTGGGATACATGATGAATGAGACTCCGTCTCAAAACTAAACCACCGATTTTTCCAAAGGCTAGAAGGAAGAGGTGGGCCATTCCCTGACCCCTGATCACTGTTTTCCATGGAGCTGAGTCCCCACAGCCAGCTCATCAGAGACAGCAATGTCCAAAAGCCAGGTCTCCGGCAGTCTACATCACCTTCGACTGTCTTTAAACAAGGACAACCATCCCACCATCTGCAAACAGCCAGAACCAACAAATGGAGGCCCCAGAGGCGCTGGTCCAGAGCTGGCAGCTCAGGATGGACTCCAAGGCAGGCAGACACTGAGTCAACACTCTCCCAGGCTTAGTTACCTCTCTGGGCCTGGGTTTGTTCTTGAATACTACAAGGCCCTGTCACTGAAGCCACGCTGGGTCTAGCCTGTCCTCCATGGGACTCAAGGAACATAAATCATCTTCCGAGTATGAATCACCAACTAGGAGAGGATACGGCATACCTTCCAACAGTTGTGGCAGACATTCAACCACAGCCTGAATATCTGGCACAAACAGAGAGGCATTTCAGGACCCTGGCAGCAGCCGCCAGAGTGTCCCTGGGTGCCCCATGCCAGGCCTTGCCCTCTGTACTGCACTTCCAGCACCACAGCCCTTGGAGGCAGTGACTATCATAGCCGGTTTATCCTGGTGACACATGCCAGGGACCAAACGGTGTCCACCTCATGGGCCACGGGGAGGTTTAAATGACAGTTGACAAGGAGCAGTGACAGGATCAGGCAGGCCCCTGTCACCTAGTGAAGAGACCCTACCCACTCTGCCCCACACCCACTTGGCCCCACACCCACTCAAGTAAGTGGATTCTGGCCAATTGTGACTGTAAAACTTTTCTTTTTGTTTTGTTTTTTAAAGAAACCAGAGACACCAGGACCAGCTGATTAGATAGCGATCATGAAGCTCAAGGCCGAAGATACTTGATTCTGTCAGTCTGTCCATCCCCCTTCCCAAGGCCTAGGATCATAGCCCCAGGACAAAGAGTGGGAGAAAGCCAGGATGAGTTCCCTAAGGACAGTGCTGACCCCAAAGATCCCCTGGGTCTAGCCCAGCAGGTAGTAAGGCTTCCAGGAGAGCACAGTTGGGCTGGGTATTAAACACCCCATCAAGGGATGATGGGTCAGTGGGGAGGTGAGGGCTCAGTGCTTTTTGAGTGAGCATGATCAGAGTTTAATCCCTAGAACCCACATAAAAAAGCTAGGCATAGTGGTACAAGGTTCTAATCATCTAACCGGGAGGCAGAGACAGGTGAATCCCTGGGACTCACAGGCTTGCCAGCCTAGTCGCCAAATACCATGCAAATGAGGGACTCTGTTTCCAGACACACACACACACACACACACACACACACACAGAGAGAGAGAGAGAGACAGGGAGAGAGAGACAGGGAGAGGGAGAGAGAGAGAATACTTATCCCAGAGGTAAATAAGCCCAGTACTCTGAAGGAAGAAGCAGATGGATCTGTGAGTTCCAGACCAGCCAGGGCTACATAGTGAGACCCTGACTCAAAAATAAATAAACAAACAAACAGGGGGCTGGAGAGATGGCTCAGTGGTTAAGAGCAATAGCTGCTCTTCCAGATGACCTGGGTTCAATTCCCAGCACCCACATGTCAGCTCACAACTATCTATAACTCCAGTTCCAGGGGACCCAACACCCATGGGAAATCATCAATGCATATAAAATAAAAATAAATATTTTTAAAAGCTCATTTTAAAAAAAAAACTAAATAAACAAAATAACTATGATAAACCCAGTACCAGGTGTGTGGTTTCTCCTCTCAAGTTTTGTTTGTTTGTTTGTTTGTTTGTTTGTTTGTTTGTGGGTTTTTGTTTTTCAAGACAGGGTTTCTCTGTGTAACTCTGTTAACCAGGCTGGCCTCAAACTCTAGAGATCCACCCTCCTCCACCCACCAAGTACACCCCCCCACCAGCATCCCCTCAGATTTTTGGTCAAGGGGATGAAAACAATACAAGCTGTTACCATTGCTCTTGTTTGCCCACCAGAACTTGATGGTAAGACTCTAGTGCTGTAACGGACCGGTTACAGAATTTAGAGAAGTCACATTGTTACTGACCTGGAAGCCTCCTCCCTGCTGTTCAGCTTTCACAGTGCAGAAAGGTACTATGCAGGCTGCTAGGGCAGAAAAATCCACCAACAGTCTCACCTGGCTAAGACCCCTGCAAGCTACCATGAAAACCAGCCTGGTAAGATACACCCACGGATGCATTAGTGGCAAGAATATTGGGGGGAGGGTAACCAACCACTTTCTGACTAGATTTAAGGCCTGCTCCATAGGCCTTAAATGAAAAACATGTCTGATACTATAAATCTGGCCAAGAACTGATGACTCCACAGGCTCCAGACGGGGGAATGTACTACTTACTATTTTGCTAAATGGACATAGTGTAAAACTGACTCCCATTTATGTGTATATGGGCCACAGTAATTGGATTCAGTGGGATAAGAAAGAGAAGGAAGGAAGGAAGGAAGGAAGGAAGGAAGGAAGGAAGGAAGGAAGGAAAGACTGATGTTGGCCTGCACACCTTTAATTCCAGCACTCGGGAACAGAGGCAGGTGTGTCTGTGAGTTCTAGGCAAGACTAGTCTATAGAGTTTCGGGACTGCCAGAGCAACACAGAGAAACCCTGTCTCTAAAAAAGAAAGAAAGAAAGAAAGAAAGAAAGAAAGAAAGGAAGGAAGGAAGAAAGAAAGAAAGAAAGGAAGAAATAAGAAAGGCTGGATTTGGTAGCTCACACCTCTACTCCCAGCACTCAGGAGGCAGAGGCAGGAAAATCTCTTTGAGTTTGAGGACAGCCAGAGCTACCTACATAGTGAGACCCTGTCTCAAAGAACAAAAAACAAAAGAACAAAATAAAATATAGAGATATAAAGTTAAGAGGGGCCTTGAGAAGAATCTGGGAGGAGTAGCAAGTATATACCATTGGAATACATTGTATGGATGTTATAATTCTCAAAGAATAAATAAACGATACTTACTATATTTAAAATAAAAGAAAATGCAGACAAGGGCTAAAGATGCAGCTCGGTGGAAGGGAGCTTGTCTAGCAGGTGCAAGGCCCTAGGTTCAATCCCTATCATCATAACAAAATAGACAAAATGGGAAAAACTGAAAGAAAAGGGATCTAGCTGTGTGTTAGGATGCACGATTGTTACCTCGGCATCCAGGCAGCTAAGACAGAAGGTTGGCAGCCTTGCTGAGGCCAGCCTGGCTGCACAGCAACCATCCATCTCACAATAGCAAGAGGACAAAACAAAGACAAAACAGGCTGTGCCAGGAAAAGGTCCTGTGAGGGAGTTCCAGCAAAGGCTGGCCAGCTGTGAGAGCATGCCAGGCTCTGTGTCCACCCATGACGGGGGTTTGTGAAACGAGACTCTAGGAAACATCTGGAGAGCCGCTGGGAGATTACCAACCCGCCTCTGGCAACACAGGACAAGCCCCATGGGTGCTCATGACTCCAAGTGTGACCTGACAGATTAAATCAGTTCCATTCCCAGCACTGAACAAAGCAGACACAGTGGCCCACACCTGTCAACCCAGTACTCCAGAGGCAGAGACAGGAGGATCAGGAGTTCAAGGTCATCCTCAGCTACATAGTGAGTTCAAGGCCAGCTTGGGCTACATAAAAGCTTGTCTCAGAAAGAAAAGGGCAAGCAAGGATGCAATGTAGAACAGGAGGCAGAGAAAGCAGAAGCAAAGCACACAGTCCTACTGTGAGAGCCCTACTGTGTGAGTCCTACTGTGCAAAGCTCCAGGACAGACAAGGCTGGCATGCCTCAATAAAGGTTTTTTATCTTTGTAATCACTGCAGTTACTTATTTCAGTATACG